ACAGCCAGGGTTTACTGCTGAATAAAGATCTGCCATCCCCTAGGGAGGAGCTAGAATGGACGGCGTGCCCTGTTAGTAGTGATGGGATTCGATCCATCTTGTGGAAAATGGCAGCATCTTCTTCTTTTATAAGATTAAATAGTATTCAGTTATGTATACATACAGCATTGTCTTTATCCATTTGTCTATCTACTGACACTCAGATTGTCTCCATATCTTGGTTGTTATTAATAGTGTTTCAATAAACATAGGATTCAGATGTCTTAACAAGGTGGTAATTGCATCTGCTTTGGGTTTATTTCTAGAAGCAGAATTTCTAATCAAATAATATTTCTAGTTTTAATTCATTAGGACCCTTTATAATGCTTTCCATAATTGTGAAAATATAGAATGATATAACCACTAGGAAAAACAGTTTCAGTTTTGAGGTATGATCCATAAACAAATAATGTTTGATCATGGCTCTCAATGAGAGTTTCTAATAAATATGATAGAAGTCAAAGGTGAAAGTTTCTCACCTTAAAGCAGGATGAATTTGCTCCCTTATTCCCTTAAAAGCATAAAATTTGGAGCATGCATGATGGAGGCTGTTGGCAAGGTTCAGAATGATATCATAAGATGAAACTCAGTTGGATAAAAACGGTGGGTTTTCATTGACAGACATGCCAGTTCTAAATATGAAACCATGAAATCAAGTAAGGATCTAGAACGTGTTCACTTGAAGCATCAGCACGTTCTCAAAGGCACCTACTGCTGCCTCACAAGGGCGATGAAACCAGTAAAGTGTGAGTTCACAGAAAGGGATAAAGTTATCACGTTTAATATGAGGTTTGTTTAATATGCCAAGGGCTTGTACAGATTACTCATACACAAGTATACACAGTGTGTTTTGCATACCTAGATGTCTAGAGGATGATTCTCTTAGGGAAACTTCTTCAGGTCACAGAAATCTGTGTACGTTGTAGGTCCCACGAAACAGTGTCTCTTTATGAATACTGGTCTATTTTTCAATTAGGGAAAATTATCTCTGCTGGAGTAGGCTTCCAATTTTGTAGATTTTTTCGTTGCTTCTTAAGTTTTAAGACATGAACCAAAAAATTGACTGGAGATTTTTTGGAGTTTCATGGCTGGAGTTCACAAGATCTCAGGAAACCACTTCTCTGTTGCTTTAGTTTGAAAGACTAACGTCCTAGGAAGAGAAGCTTCTGCCTAACCGTGATGAGCTCATTTCTTCTGCATACCATGAAGTTTGAGACCCCATTGTCAAGAATCATGAAAATTTTACACTCCAGTTTACTGAAAATCTTGACTCTTGAATTTAATATTGATTGGCATTGAAAAAAATGTTTCATTTTTGGATGTTTCCTAAGTTGCTGGCCCAACGTATCAGTGGACTGAGAATCCTCCATTAGCTGCCTGTCTGTAGCACTGAGTTGATTGACAATCTTCAGAGTCATCCATGAAGAAGAATCCTGAGGTTCATCGGATTCTTGTAGACACTCAGGTGAACCAAAGGAATTACCAGAATTGAGGGCTGCCAGCCATTTCCATGTCACTAGTAATAATTACCATGGCCTCTAACAGGATTACGGCTTGAACCCTCAGCTTCTACAATTATGTCGTCCATGTGTCATGTATTCGCTCTTTCTCACACTGGGTCAGGAATTGGGCTATTAAATTGCATCCTTCCTGAATATGCAAATCACTGAGGCTAATACAGATAACTCTGTGCCCTGAGAGCATCACCCAACAACCACACCCCTCCTCGGGACCACACCCCACCAACAGCACAGCTCCTCACCATGGACGGGACCCACAGGATCCTCTTCTTGGTGGCAGCAGCAAAAGTTAAGGGGCTCCCCAGTTCCAGGGCTAACAGAGAAATCAGGTCAGTCAAGCGAGACTTCACACAGTCCTCTCTCCTCTCCACCGGTGCCCACTCCCAGGTGCAGCTGGTGCAGTTTGGGCCTGAGGTGAAGCAGCCTGTGGCCTCAGTGAAGGTTTTCTGCAAGGCTTCTGGTTACAGCTTTACCGCCTATGGTATGAATTGGGTGAGACAGGTGCCTGGAGAAGGGCTTGAGTGGATGGGGTGGATGAACACCAACACTGGGAACCCAATATATGCCCAGGGCTAAACAGGATGATTTGTCTTCTCCATACACACCTCTGTCAGCACAGTGTACCTGCAGATCAGCAGCCTAAAGGCTGAGGACACGACTGTGTATTTCTGTACGAGAGATACAGTGTGGAAACCCACATCCTGAGAGAGTCAGAAGCCCTGAGGGAAGAGGTAGCTGTGCTGAGCTGAGGCAGCGGTGCAGCAGTTTCTTTATCTTCCATATGATCTCATTTTGCATCAACTTCCACTTTTATGTTAGCCATGAATGTGGGATAGACGGGTGCGCCTAAGAGATCCCTAACTTGCCCATTTTGATGGGTTTTCCAGAAGACGAGAGAAGTCACTTTGTTTGCAAAGCATCCCAAAGCCATGCCCTGCTCCACACACGTAAGTGTCCATTTCCTGGTCTTTGGTTAACTGTAAAATGCTCATCAGTGCACCTGGGCTAATTTCACATCAGGTACAGGAATGTGTTCTAAAGGAAAGCTAGTTGTAATAGCAATTCCTGCTCAATAACCTTCAGCTTCATTGATTTTGTGTGATCCATCAACTAATTACATTACATCAAGGTTCTCAGTGGGAGTTTCTAATAAATATAAGGGATAATAGAAGTTACCTAATTAAAATAATACAATTGTGAACACAACCTCAGTATTCAACCATGTCTCCACCCGTCACACCCTTCACCACAAAGGAATTTTCATCTCTCCTGGAAGTTGGGTTCATTTTGAAATTAGTGATTTTTTTTTTCATTTTAATATCTCAATATTATTATATGTGAGTATTTTATCAGAAAGTGAGTATGGGAACTTGAACTAAACAACTGAAAACAAATTCACAACTAATTAAGCAAGATGACAGAATGTGATTGGCTCCAGGCTTTGATAATTCAGCAGTTTATGTACCCACACTTTAAATTTACACATCTTCCTGTCACCTTCATGGCACGGTCAATTCCCATTATGAAAGAAATGGTGAGGGCATTTTTAAGGGTCACGCACAGTTACAAAAACAGACTGGATAAGGTGAGGAAGAGGATTGTTTAAATTTCCGTTTGAAGAAGTAGAGTCAACTACTTTTCTGAATGGCTCACAATGACTCCAGCTCACTCGCAGAGCTCAGACAGAAACCTCCCTTCAGGGTGGGAGCTGGGCTGCAGAGGGCACTTGGTGCCCATAAAGGTGAAAATGAGCTTTCAGATGGAACTTCCCTGTCACCTCAACATGGAATTTATTGTTTCATTTCATTAGCACTCTTTACATAACGATTCATTTGTTTTGGTCTGTTCGTTACTTGTATTTTTCAAAGGAATCTCACTTGAATCTTTACTCTTTTGCATTTTGTCTCCAGGACAAGGTTGGGAAGTGTTACCTCCAGCATCATAACATGATCTAGTGACCTGACACATTTGTGGCAAATAATCCCTACAATTCAGAAGCTCTTTGGTTTTCTTTCCATGAAATATAATTATTTCTTCTGTTCTGTGTATGAGCGTATCCTAGCAATCCTGTACACACCCACATTGATGCCTACAAGCCTATGAATTATTCTCTGTAGATAAAAATTTGTCTCAATTTCCCTCAATGTTCATAATTCTCCTGAAGGTGAGGAAGGTCTTTCTGGATCTGTTTAAACAAAATGTCCAGAGACCACCTGGTAGGTAAGGAGTTCACCTGGTTCTGGATGTTGGCTCTGTGTCTTTCCCTCTGTTGTCCCACAGGTCAGCTCACTTGTTCAGTCCTAACAAGAGAGCCCAGGTTTGTCCTGATGTTAAAACACACCCAACTTCCGATGACTCTCCTGTTACCCACATCCATGGAGATATATTATTTATTATATAATTCACCAAACTAATGTCAAATGCCCAAGTTGCAATACCGCAAACTCTAGGGTATGTTCATGCAATTCAATGAAGGAGAAAGTCTTTCAGACACAGGTGTACCTGATATGATAAATATGTGGGTGAGGACTCTGGGCTTGAGTGTCATTGTCCAGCCATGTTTCAGAAGTGTGACCTGTCAGGGAAGAACCAGAGTTCCCTGTGCTCTCGGAGGGGAGGACTCACAGATGTCCTCTCTTGTTCCCAGGAAAGGCAATTGCACTAATCTTGATGATGAGACTATGCTCCTGTGCTGACGTATTATCGTTTTTGACTGAAATAGTCACTGTGATCCCCAATCTACATCTATTCACACAGAAGTGTATAAAGGTCAGGCCACATTCTCAGCATCACACATTGACATGGTTGGAGATACGTCCCACTACCTTCTCCTGAGACTGCAGACAAAATCCCAAACTTCAAACGTTCACAAAAGGGAAGGTCTCAGACTTTTTTTTTTTTTTTAATGACGCGCTCTCTGGGACAGATATATTCCAACCACGCTGGATATTCTGAATTACGATAAACATTGCATGGATGTAGGTTTGTAGAAATTCACTGCGATGAATATATTTAGCTGCTGCCCTAATGTTTTTGAATGCAGATTTGACAATTTAGATAACCTGGATATTTGGTTGATTTCATATAAATCTTCACGGTAGAACAGCATTGAACCTATTCCAAAATCTGTCCTTGATCCATGATCACACTCATCTCCCAGACCAGCTCCTTCAGCACATCTCCCTACCTGGAAGAAGAGGACTCTGGGCTTGGTGAGGGGAGGCCCCAGGAAGAGAACTGAGTTCTCAGAGGGCACAGCCAGCATCCTCCTCTCAGGGTGAGCCCCAAAGACTGGGGCCTCCCTCATCCCTTTTCACCTCTCTATACAAAGGCACCACCCACATGCAAATCCTCACTTAGGCCCCACAGGAAACCACCACACATTTCCTTAAATTCAGGGTCCTTCTCACATGGGAAATGCTCTCTGAGAGTCACGGACATCCTGTGCAAGAACATGAAGCACCTGTGGTTCTTCCTCCTCCTGGTGGCAGCTCCCAGATGTGAGTGTCTCGGGGATGCAGATATGAAGATATGGGAGGTTGTCTGTGATCCCAGGGCTCACTGTGGGTCTCTCTGTTCACAGGGGTCCTGTCCCAGGTGCAGCTGCAGGAGTCGGGCCCAGGACTGGTGAAGCCTTCGGAGACCCTGTCCCTCACCTGCGCTGTCTCTGGTGGCTCTATCAGCAGTAGTAACTGGTGGAGCTGGATCCGCCAGCCCCCAGGGAAGG